CAATGAATGAAGCAGTTGATAGCTGTAACCGACATATGACCAAGAAGCTTAAAACTAGACTATTTTAATAGGTTTGCAGTTCTAACAATGCATATGACCATATGTTGTCAGTGTGCTAATGTATCTTAAATACAGCAACACAAAAGTTAGATGAGAAGCAAGGGATACAATTGAGAATTGCCTGACTAATTATTATTTGCAATAGCGGACAAAAACAATTGGAACTCAAAGCTTTTGCCACTATTTGTGTCCAATGCAAACATCAAAGACTTCAAAATCAGATATAGGACTAGAGTACAGCGGTATAGAGTGTTGCGAGCTACAGGGTAAAGCTATCTGTGCCATCGATCAATTAGCTCCTCTAACCTCAAGTGTTCCCTCTACTGGACCAGTGTGGCAATGCCATTTCCTTTGCCGGGCATTTTTTATGGCTCTAAATGGAATTAATCCTGATGACCACCAAATTAAGCACAGTTATGAATAATATGCAAATGACCTTCAGGACGACGGGCAAATAACTTACAATGGTTGAAGCCAACAGTTAGACTTAGGCTTTCATTCCATTTCATGCCATTAGTCTGGAGAATCAGTCACGGTTCCCTCTAATTAATCACTTCCCAGATACCGATAATGGATGTGTGTATGTGCATGCCGAGTGAAGATGGGATCAGGCTCAGCTGTGATGATCCATGATCAAATAGTCTGCTCAGATGTGGAAACAAGTAATCAATTAAGTGGAATCATACCATAGTTGAGGCCAAACAAATCAAAAACCTAAAGGGAGGAGGTGAAAGGAGAAAATTGGCAGAGAAAGAGACAAAATCTTTTTTATCAGTTGCATTTTAGCAGATTGAATGTATATTTTAGGTACCTATTTATTTTAGTCTATTTGGAGATGGAAATCTATTGTAAGGGCTCTTCTGTTGTCTTGTCATATGATCTGTTTTAGTTCGAGTTCAGTCATATTGACTTTAGGGTAAATTATGTTTCTTCATAAGTAATACACTTGATGAGAAGGTTGCTTAGGATAAATAGAACAAAAAACTGTTTGCTTAAAACAAGGATACAGAAGGCATCCTTTTGCTAATAAATCCATCCTTGTATTTGCCCATGTTTTGACATGAATATTTGACCCCCTGTTCTCTGGGGGTTTAGTTAAAAGTTACTGGACTCCAGCAGAATAGATTAATGTTTCAATTGTACGGCAAAATGCACTGCATTTCAGACCAGTACCTAGTTTTAGAGCAGTGAAAGCTGACAGCACAGATTAATACTGGTCCAATGATGCTGCTGCCCCCTCAGGGAACTACCGTGCTTTGTGCCCGCATACTAAATACATAATCAGACCTCTGCTCACTAGCTTTTAACTGCTGATATCATTTTTAATGTTAGAAAAGACTGATGGAATAGTTGGCTCTTTTATCGCATTAGAAACGTAATGAAGTTGCAGCAACGTGTTTGGGATTTTTACTTTGACCACCCACCACCCCTCCCAGTCTATGCAAAGGTTATTTTCCCACACGGCCCCAAATGTCAAACTGATTCCATTCGGCTTCAATTCTGCAGCCAATCCTGTATCGGTGATGGAAAAAACACTTGACAACATTAGAATTGGTGGCTTGATGCATTGCTAAAGATACCCAGGAGAATATCATCTTCAAAGACTAAAACTCATCTTATTTTGTCCAAGCTCTCCTTGCAGCTCACAGGCACTGTTATGACAGATGTTTTTCGGATTCTTTTATTATACTTTAGACCTCGAATTGTTCATAATCCATCCTTTGTTGAGTGTAGGTCCTGTTTGTCTTGGCCTTTGTAATCTAGTTTAATATTTTAGTAAATTAATCATGTCTAAAGTTGGAGCTGTAGGAATCTGTCACAGACAAACAAATTGAATTATAGTGCCTGGACCACCTCTTCTGGAGACACATTCTGCCCTCCATAGTTACTGACTGACAGCAAGGAATCCTTAACTAGGCATTTCAGTAAAAAGGCGGTGATACCTCAAACCCGAAACTTAAAAGCAATTGCTTTAGAGATTGCATTTCTTGCTTTATCTTATAAAACACTTGCTTTGTAGAGAACTCCGGTCTCGGGGTGGGGGGAGTGCAGTACATATGTGATCAGAGTTGTACTTCACCCCAGGTCCATGAGGGAATACAAATTCAGACAATAACTTCACGTCTCTAGCGGTGTCGTTGTTGCTGCTAGTACACTGGTCATTTTTAAATGTTTTTCACAACCGGTCTGGTATATTTTCAGGTAAGAACAATTCGGTTTTGAACTAAGAATTGAAAGCTCACTTAAGCATTTCAGTACCTTGTCTGTCAACCACTTAGCAGCACCTATGATTTAAGAGGGCCTTTTTAATTAAAACAATGTTTTGCTTTATTTAGTTATCAGATTGTTGTAGTCTTATCCCGATAAGATCCTTTTTCAGATTAAGGTTTGTTCTTCTTCAGCAGTGTTAAGTTGGCCTCCCCGCATTTCTGCTGCAAATAATGAAACTATATTATCGATCCACTCAGTTGACTTATGTGGGCAGATTCACTGACTTACAGTAAGACTCAGCGATTCGTTCATTTATTAATTTCACGGAATGTTATTACTTCACATACATTTAATCGACGTGTACATGTGTGCAACCATGTGTATAGTTTACCAATAGGGGGGATTAATTTGTGGGGAGAGGGAAGGAAATAGTCATTAGTCAAACTGTTTTGAACCTATGGTGCCAAGAACAGGAAGCGCCTAGAAACTGCAGGTGAAACATTCTGTGCGATGCAGCTGTCAACAGATACCTGGCTACATCAGATCTATAATAAATACTCGCATCTGCTCCTTTGGACACCCCCATCTATCCAGTGGGTTCGTGCTGTGTCAGGCTTTGTTCTGACTGAAGAAGCTAGATAGTTATTAAAGGCTGGTAAACAGTGTGAATTTATCACACTTAACCGCATGTGATCAAACGTACCCTTTCAAGGACTGGAATATTCATAGCAATTGCTGGATAAATCTTTTCGGATTGAAAGTTTATATGTACGCTTCGCGCTGCACAAATGTGCTCTCTGTCGATAAAGGTTATAAACCGATTACCATTTGTAAGAGCCGACAGAATGCGTTATTTTTTCGTCCACTGTTTATGTGGCGCTCTGGAGAATCCAGAGTATTGAAAGCAATTAGTTTTCAGTGAGTGACAGGTCAATTCCCTGACCAAATTTACATTGGGAAGGTCACTCGAAGCGTACATGGTCTTCCTCATAGTCCCTCGAGTGATTGGGAAAAAGTTTGGTGTTTTAAATGTGCTCCCACAAATTACTATTTGAATGGATACATTATTTAATGATCTCTCTGTTGGATGGAGCGGGTTGTTGATTGTAGTGGGATACCAGTTTGCCTTACGTACATTAAATATAAAAGAGCTCATCTCGTGCCTTCAAATGGATTTATTGATTTTCTTGTACGTGAAGCTCATCATTATAGCATTCAGTGCTACGGCAGAGGAGCATTTGTCTGCTGCTCAAAGGAAATCGGTTGAGAAAATTTGGCGTACTTCAGAGAGAAATCGGAATCGTACCGAATGAGATCGTTAACGTAGATATAAGATACGCAAATGCTAACTGTTGTGCTTGCATTCCATCCCGTTCACAGATCTAGAGACGAGAGGAATATATGCCATGGAGAATCATATTACCTCCATTGTACAACTTGTACAACCAGCTCGTACAGAATTTATGACAGAATAATGAATATGAGACAGAAGTTTGGGAGTCTTGTTTTAAACAGTGTGGTGAGCCCTGGATCCAACACGTGGTATTTCTGATACATATGTTAGATTGTACACAATAACTCTGTACATAAGTGCCAGACTGGGAGGGACAGTCTGAGCCGCCAAATATCAGACCTTGAGCTACATTGGCTGTGCAGATTTTTACCACTAGTGGAAATGAAGCACGACCTTCAGATCACTGCAGTTTTTTTTATTTCCAAGTTGTCCAGAACTTCTTATTGTCAGAGAAATTGGCCGGGTGGTAGGACTTCTCGGAGCATTTGAGGGGCCTTCATAAGCTCAAACGACATTCAATCAATGCTGTTCACAAGATCAATAAAGGGAAGTCTCAGGCATCAAAAAGCGACGAGTCTTTTTCTGTTATAGAGTAGCCTCATCCCCTAATCAAACCAAACGGGAAAGAATTTGCAACAGAAAAAGAATTGGACCGAATTTACTGTCATCCGAATCAAACTCTGTAGAGCTAAACCTCAAAATTTGGCTCAATCCCCAGTCTGACCTTCGATGTACATCCCAAGGATTAAGAAGACCAGAAACTGGCACAGTTCGCGAGTACGAATCCATTCCTTGGCACTGGCTCTACTATTCTTGGCCATCTTTATTTCGGGTTTGTGATAAGCAAGACGATTAGCAAAAGGACCTTCGTCAAAACTTAATTCTTCGAAATGCCATACCTATTCACGCAAGTTTTAACAGTTTTGTTCCTCAGAAAAAAATAAAATTTGTTCTGCCTCATGGCTATCCTTTTTCATTCCATGTATGTCTAGATATTGTTTAACATGTTTAACTTGAATCTCGCCAGATCCCAAATTGCAGTGTATCTAAGTTGTTCACAACTGGAACAAATGGAACAAGTGAAATAAAGAAGTATCTTGGAGACAAAACTGATTGTATTTTTACCACGTGATTTATTTTCTCTTAATATCAAATAACGTTTCCCCCTTGGACAATGATATATTCATGTATTCAAATCCCAACTGTTGATATAGAATTGGCAATATAAAATAAAAAGGGAAATTGTGAGAGCGATGATAGAATTCCAACAGCAGGGTCATTTTGTCAAACTTGCAGTTATTCCAAGATGAAGTTGATATAGAAATATGCATTGCAATATGTACACTGTTGTTACTTTGTTGTCTGGTGAAACTTTTGGGGGCACTTGCTTACTTTTTGCTAAATTATTTGCTTTATATGCCGTTTTTCCACGAAGGTCAATTGGTGGTCGTCGCCAGTGACGATGGGACTGTGAAAATATTGGATCTTCCTTCCAGTCAGTTGTCCAGTCTGGCGGGACACGAAGACGCGGTACAGTGTGTGCTGTTTGACCACAAGGGCGAATATGTGATTTCAGGAGGTTCGGATGGCACTGTGCGTTTCTGGACATAGAGCAAATACCCACAACAATCTAATATAGATTTAAGATGTCTTTTAAAAAACGTTTCTAACTTTCAATGACCTTAATGTGATGTATTTCTTCAGAAACCGTTTGATAATAATATGGCAGTGGGCTTTTAGAACTTTATTCTAGGTTTGTATCACTATAATTTTGATATGCATTGCAATGCTTAATAAACCTCCTCGATTAACACGGGTTGGAGTTTGGTTGAAATTACCTTAGAAGTTTTAGGACACTTTATATTACTGTCAAAAGCGTGTCCAGTGCATCTTCGGACCATCAATACTAATCGAACACGTCAAAGGTTACGGTATATCGGTTTTGTTCCTAAGAAATAAATAAAATGTGTTCTGCCTGGTGGCTACCGGTTTTTTTTCATTCTATGTACGTCGAGATATTTTTCAAGATTTGGTGACTGTTTTGATTTGCATTTAACTTCAAACTAGAAAAGGGAAAGTGAGTATGTGTGTATGTATGTGTGTGTGTGTGTATGTGTGTGTATGTGTGTGTGTGTGTGTGTATGTATGTGTGTGTGTATGTATGTATGTGTGTGTGTATGTATGTGTATGTATGTGTGTGTGTGTGTGTGTGTGTATGTATGTATGTGTGTATGTATGTGTGTATGTGTGTGTGTGTGTGTATGTATGTATGTGTATGTATGTGTATGTGTGTGTGTGTGTGTGTGTGTGTGTGTATGTATGTATGTATGTGTATGTATGTGTATGTGTGTGTGTATGTGTGTGTGTATGTGTGTGTGTGTGTATGTGTGTGTATGTGTGTGTGTGTATGTGTGTGTGTGTGTGTATGTATGTATGTGTGTGTGTGTGTGTGTGTGTGTGTGTGTGTTACACTTCTCTCTGCCCCTGTGACTGTGGCATTGCGCACAGGGCACACGGTGGCGATTGCGGAGTGTAAGTTGATGGAGAGCTGTTTGAGAACGACGCCCTTAAGCGGCAGCGTAACACGTCCCACACGGCTGGAGATCGCATTTGCAATACACCGGGTCAGGACGGGATCCAGGCAAAGCCAAGCAGTCCGACCCGAAGTGGACCGGATCAACCCAACGTGCCGCCGAGCCCTGCCGGTGCAGCTGGAGCCAACCGGGACCGAACAGGAATCACAACACAGAGGGGAAAGAAGAAGGAGCAACGAGGAACTGCTGCGTCGATAAGCCGAGCCATACCGACCCGATCTCCTTGTCCCGGGTCTGGATACCGACTGCTGCTTTCTGCTTAAATCGTCGGGGACACAGGGAATGGGACGTGGTTCCTGAGTGCGGGACGATTCGCCACGATGCCCCCCCCCCCCCCCCCCCCCCTCCGGGGGCGCACCGGGGAGCACAGCGCTCACCGTGAAGCGCATTAGGATGACATGAGTGTTTGCACTCAGATATGGCTATAAAAGGTGCCCCGAAAGGATAAGACAGTTGTGCATCGGAGCAAAACCACTGAGAAGGAAGAGCAACTGTGACGGCCCCGACGTCGGGTGTTTGGCTTTTGACTGCTCTCCCTGGTCCTGAAAGTGCTGTCGCGTGTTTTTCTCTCTCTCTCTCTCTCTCTATATATATATATAATATATATATATACACACACACAAAGGCGAGATAGCGATCGTTACAAGTTACAGATGTGTCGACGACAAGGAATCGGGATCGCTGCAGCTGCTGTCAGACCGGGATCAGATCTCCACTGTGTCCCAGACACTTGGTGCTGACATTCAGCGGTGACCATTCGGTGTGACCAGCCCTGTCCTGCACTCTTATCTAGTGGGGAAAACACGAGAAGACGGAATATCTCGCAGGTGTTTTATACATATATATATACATATATATATATATGTGTCGCCAACGTAGTATAGTCCAAAGCTTTTCCCCTTCTCCAATGAAGATGGGCTGTTTGTAACCCAATAACCCGACAGCAAAGCCCGGAGACCAGACTTGACACCACTGGAGAGATTTTGCACTTGGACATTGAGGTACGTCTCTTTTTTTTTTTTTTGGTTGGTGGGGGGGAGGGGATGGGGGGGGAGAGGGGGGTTTAATTGCAAAATGATTTGAACTTCGACATGTGTAACTCTCTCCTGGTTTTGAATGCAAAGGATTTTCCGATCCGGGTTTACCTCCAATGAAGTTCCAGGGAGATCCCTATATAAAAAAAAACACGTTCGCGACCAACCGGTGTCTGTCGCTCTCCCACTTTTTTCCAACACTCTGATCCCTCTTTTTATTAACCCGATCACTCCAGAATTCATTGCAAATCGACCGAGATCTGCACACGAAACCCACGCACTCACCGACCTGTCCGGTGCCCGCGTTTCCAGGCGTTCAAAACCCGCACCTGATTTCACAGGAAAAGCAGAAAATTGGGGTCAGAGATAATAATGATAATAATAATGATAATAATGATAATAATAATGATAATAATGATAATAATAATGATGATAATAATGATAATGATGATGATGATGTTGATGATGATAACAGTCTCAAGAATGAAGACTCGTCATTGCCACCGCGAAGCAATTTCTAGCGTAAGCTGCGCCGCATTTTGGAGACAGAGAGTGACAGAGAGTGACAGAGAGACACAGAGAGACACAGAGAGACAGAGAGTGACAGAGAGACAGAGAGTGACAGAGAGAGACAGAGAGACACAGAGAGACAGAGAGAGACAGAGAGAGACAGAGAGACAAAGAGTGACAGAGAGAGACAGAGAGTGACAGAGAGAGACAGAGAGACACAGAGAGACAGAGAGTGACAGAGAGAGACAGAGAGTGACAGAGAGAGACAGAGAGAGAGAGAGACACAGAGAGACACAGAGAGACACAGAGAGACAGAGAGTGACAGAGAGAGACAGAGAGTGACAGAGAGAGACAGAGAGAGACAGAGAGACAAAGAGTGACAGAGAGAGACAGAGAGTGACAGAGAGACACAGAGAGACAGAGAGTGACAGAGAGAGACAGAGAGTGACAGAGAGACAGAGAGTGACAGAGAGAGACAGAGAGTGACAGAGAGAGAGAGTAACCAAGTGACATGTGCAACGTAAGCTTCACACTCCACCCCTTCCCCCCCTTTTAAAGTTTGTGTTTATTGGTGTATTTCTCGGGCTGTTGTGGGGGGAGAGACCCGCACCGGGAATCACCAGCGAGAGAAACACGTCGTGTTTACAGAAGCGGAGTTACTGTCCGTCTCACCGATGGTTCGCTCTGTGTGTGTGCGTTGTGTTTGTGTGGTGTGTGCGCGTTGTGTTGTGTGTTGCGTTGTGTGTGGTGTGTGCGCGTTATTATGGTGGTGTGTGTTGTGTGGTGTGTGTGTGGTGATGTGTGTGTGTATGGTGATGTGTGTGGTGATGTGTATGGTGTGTGGTGATGTGTGTATGGTGTGTGTGTGTGGTGTATCGTGTGTGGTGATGTGTGTATGGTGTGTGTATGGTGTATGGTGTGTGGTGATGTGTGTGTATGGTGTGGTGATGTGTGTGTATGGTGTATGGTGATGTGTATGGTGATGTGTGTGGTGTGTGGTGATGTGTGTATGGTGTGTGGTGATGTGTGTATGGTGTGTGTGTGTGTATGGTGTATGGTGTGTGTATGGTGTGTGTGGTGATGTGTGTGATGTGTATGGTGTGTGTATGGTGTGTGGTGATGTGTGTATGGTGTGTGGTGATGTGTGTGGTGTGTATGGTGTGTGTATGGTGTGTGGTGATGTGTGTATGGTGTGTGTGTTGTGTATGGTGTGTGTGTTGTGTATGATGTGTGTATAGTGTATAGTGTATGGTGTGTGTATAGTGTATGGTGTATGTTGTGTGTATAGTGTATGGTGTGTGTATAGTGTATGGTGTGTGGTGATGTGTATGGTGATGTGTATGGTGTGTGTGGTGTATGGTGATGTGTATGGTGTGTGTGGTGTGTGTGGTGTGGTGTATGGTGATGTGTGTGGTGTGTGTATGGTGTGTGTGTGTGGTGTGTGTGTGGTGTGTGTGTGGTGTGTATGGTGTGTGTATGGTGTATGGTGGTGTATATGGTGTGTGGTGTGTATGGTGTATGGTGTGTGTATGGTGTATGGTGTGTGTATGGTGTGTGGTGTGTGTATGGTGTGTGGTGTGTATGGTGTATGGTGTGTGTGTGGTGTGTGGTGTGTGTATGGTGTATGGTGTGTGTATGGTGTGTGTATGGTGTGTGGTGTGTGTGTGGTGTGTGTATGGTGTGTATGGTGTGTGTGTGGTGTGTGTATGGTGTGTGGTGTGTGTATGGTGGTGTATGGTGTGTGTACGGTGTGTGTATGGTGTATGGTGTGTGTATGGTGTGTGGTGTGTGTATGGTGTGTGGTGTGTGGTGTGTGTATGGTGTGTGGTGTGTGGTGTGTGTATGGTGTGTGGTGTGTGTACGGTGTGTGGTGTGTGTATGGTGTGTGGTGTGTGGTGTGTGTATGGTGTGTGGTGTGTGTATGGTGTGTGTACGGTGTGTGGTGTGTGTGTGGTGTATGTATGGTGTGTGTATGGTGTGTGTGGTGTATGGTGTGTGTATGGTGTGTGGTGTGTGTACGGTGTGTGGTGTGTGTGTGGTGTGGTGTATGTATGGTGTGTGTATGGTGTGTGTGTGTGTGTATGGTGTGTGTATGGTGTGTGTGTGGTGTGTGTATGGTGTGTGTATGGTGTGTGGTGTGTGTATGGTGTGTGTATGGTGTGTGTGTGTGTGTATGGTGTGTGGTGTGTGTATGATGTGTGTATGGTGTGTGTATGGTGTGTGTGTGGTGTGTGTACGGTGTGTGTGGTGTGTGTGGTGTGTGTATGGTGTGTGTATGGTGTATGGTGTGTGTGTGGTGTGTTTATGGTGTGTGTGTGGTGTGTGGTGTGTGTGTGGTGTGTGTATGGTGTGTGTATGGTGTATGGTGTGTGTATGATGTGTGTATGGTGTGTATGGTGTGTGTATGATGTGTGTATGGTGTGTATGGTGTGTGTATGATGTGTGTATGGTGTGTATGGTGTATGGTGTGTGTATGGTGTATGGTGTGTGTATGGTGTGTGTGTGGTGTGTGTACGGTGTGTGGTGTGTGTATGGTGTGTACGGTGTGTGGTGTGTGTGTGTACGGTGTGTGGTGTGTGTACGGTGTGTGGTGATGTGTGTGGTGTGTGTGTGGTGATGTGTGTGGTGTGTGTGTGGTGTGTGGTGATGTGTGTGGTGTGTGTACGGTGTGTGGTGATGTGTGTGGTGTGTGTGTGGTGTGTGGTGATGTGTGTGGTGTGTGTGTGGTGTGTGGTGTGTGTATGATGTGTGTATGGTGTATGGTGTGTGTATGGTGTATGGTGTATGGTGTGTGTGTGGTGTGTGTACGGTGTGTGTACGGTGTGTGTGTGGTGTGTGTATGGTGTGTGTGTGGTGTGTGTATGGTGTATGGTGTGTGTGTGTGGTGATGTGTGGTGTGTGTGTGGTGTGTGTATGGTGTGTGTGTGGTGTGTGTATGGTGTACGGTGTGTGTGGTGTGTGGTGTGTGTATGGTGTGTGGTGTGTGTATGGTGTGTGTGTGGTGTGTACGGTGTGTGGTGTGTGTACGGTGTGTGTGGTGTGTGGTGTGTGTGTGGTGTGTGGTGATGTGTATGGTGTGTGTGGTGTGTGTATGGTGTGTGTGTGGTGTGTGTACGGTGTGTACGGTGTGTGGTGTGTGTGTGGTGTGTGTGTGGTGTGTACGGTGTGTGGTGTGTGTACGGTGTGTGTGGTGTGTGGTGATGTGTATGGTGTGTGTGGTGTGTGTATGGTGTGTGGTGTGTGTACGGTGTGTAGTGTGTGTGTGGTGATGTGTGTGGTGTATGGTGTGTGTATGGTGTATGGTGTGTGGTGTGTACGGTGTATGGTGTACGGTGTGTGTACGGTGTGTGGTGATGTGTGCGCGCGTTCCGCAGGTTCTCTCCGGCGTCGGATGGGAAGGAGCCGAGAGGGGCGAACACAGAGGCACTTGTGGACTATGGCCCCTCCGGTGCACACGGCGCTCCGCCGCCGCCTCCGCCTCCGCCCTCCGCCTCCGCCTCCGCTCCCGGTGCTGCTCCCGGTGCTGCTGCTGCTGCTGCTGCCGCCGCCGCTGGTGCTGCTGTTCGCCCCGGTCCCGGTGGCCTCGGCGGCGATCCACGAGGACGACATCCCGGGAGACGACAGCCCCGACACGGCCACGGCCGCGGCCAACACCGACCACCTGGAATTTGACGACTATCGCGGCAAAGGCTGTGTGGACGACAGCGGCTTCGTGTACACGTTGGGCGAACGCTTCTTCCCCGGTCACTCGAGCTGCCCGTGCGTGTGCACCGGGGACGGGCCGGTGTGCGACCAGCCCGAGTGTCCCCAAATCCACCCCAAGTGCACGAAGATCGAGCACAACGGCTGCTGCCCCGAGTGCAAGGAAGTCAAAAACTTTTGCGAGTATCGCGGGGAAACGTACAAAGTGTTGGAAGAGTTCAAGGTACACGGGGAGAGAGAGAGGGGGGGGGGGGGAGGGGGGGAGGGGGGGGGGGGGGGGGAGGGGGGGAGAGAGGGGGGGGGGGGGGGGGGAGAGGAGGGGGGGGGGGGGGGAGAGGGGGGGGGAGGGGGGGGAGAGAGAGGGGGGGGGTAGGGGGGGGAGAGAGGGGGGGGGAGAGAGGGGGGGAGGGGGGGGAGAGAGGGGGGGGAGGGGGGGAGAGAGAGGGGGGGGAGGGGGGGGAGAGAGGAGGGGGGGGGGGGAGAGGGGGGGGGGGGGAGAGAGGGGGGGGAGGGGGGGAGAGAGGGGGGGGGAGAGGAGGGAGAGGGGGGGGGGAAGGGGGGGCGCTTGTTTTACTTTTACACACACAGACACACACACACACAGACACACACAGACACACACACACAGACACACACACACACAGACACACACACACACACACACAGACACACACACATACACACACACACACACATACACACACACACACATACACATACACACACACAGACGCACTAAAAAATAAATTCAGATCCACAGCGACTATTCCATGTCATTTGCTTTATTCAATTGATTGAATTCGCAAATCGTAAAGGTGTTCGGTGGAGTACACAAACTGAGCGCCTCCCGAACCCCTTTACCGGACACAACCACTTCGAATGCGACTCATTTCTTCTCGAAAACGCCCCCAATCACTCAGTCACTCAGTCAGTCCGTCAGTCACACATCCCCAACACCAGAAATCTCCCCCAACCGACACAAGACTGTTAAGTGCACCACTTAAATCATCCACTGATTTTTTTTAATGATTATTTTTTTTAACCCCCTCTCCCCCACCCCCACCCCTCCCCCCCACCCCCACCCCTCCCCCCCACCCCCACCCCTCCCCCCCTGATATTAGTCAGTTTGCAAACGTCAATGCCTAAGTGTGTTTTCTGGTGCTCTCAGTCTGCACAACTGAGCCACATCCCTGTGTTGTTCCAGCCGTCTCCCTGTGAGTGGTGTCGGTGTGAGGCGAGCAGTGAAGCTCACTGTGTGGTGGCGGACTGCGCCGTACCCGAGTGCGTCAACCCGGTCTATGAACCCGAACAGTGTTGCCCTATTTGCAAGAACGGTAAGGAGCTGCCAACGATGCCTTCTTACAATTCCTTGTTACAGTAATCCTCACACCGTGGTTTTCATTTCAGACGGTACTTAGTGACGCAGAATACATAATAAATAATCCTTGCATTTGATATGTTTTATAATATTATTGATGATAATAATAATAATAATAATAATAATAATCCTTGCATTTGATATCGCCCTTTTCACGTCGGGAGGACGTCCCAAAAGCGCTTCACAGAACACACGCTGTAAAGTGAATTGACTGTATATTTGTGGGCGAACGCGGCAGCCGATTGCGCACAGCAATGTCCCACAAACAGTCGCAGATCGAAAATGACCAATTTAATTATTGTTTTTTTTGGTTTTTTGGAGGGATTATTATTAGGCTCTGTGTGGAGTAAGGAAACTTGCCCAAGGTTTCGCCCTCTGCCTGGAATTGAACTCAGGTCTCTCACTTGCAAAGCGAGTGCTCTAACCACTGAGCTACAGGACTCCAGAAACCAGATGCAGAGATTTAAAGCCAGGCTATCCAGTTGCACTCCAGTCACCACTTTATTGGTATTTTAATTAGTTGGATATGTTCAACTCCATTACGTTGAGCTTTATTTATAAAGTTAGAAACACTTCAGATTCAAACAGTATTTCAGCGTGTATTCTGGATCCAAAATTAGCAGTATGGCAATCCATTTATCTTAACATTCTGATCTTCAAAATAATGCTACTACTCTGTCACTGAGTGATTCTGAAGCGTTTCTAACTTTATAAATAAGGATCCGAAACACTGGTATATTTTGAGCACTCGGGAAATCGAGGAGGTAATTTAGGAGGCCATTTCCTGGTTGTCTTGAGGAGATCAGGAAGGAAAGCCCTTGCACAATAGAACTTGGCTTCGACACATGTTGTGTTTGAAATTACTGCAATCCTTTTTCCATGAACAATCTTCCAGGCTCACCTGCTGGAATGCTTCACCCCCTCTTTTCTATGTCTACAATCTCAATGGGAAAATCCAATGTTCACAATTGTTTCCGTTGTCACAATAAAATTCATAATGTGTTTCAAAGGTATCGAAACTATAATGATGCCTGTTAAATAAAACATGAAATCTGCTTAACTGATGTGCTTTTTGCTGACCTAGGTTGATAATATCACTTTAGATCTTTAGTATGTTTATAGAAATGTTTTAGTAATCCAAGTGATAATGTGCTTGAGAGACTTCCCAATTTTCATTTCACCACTGGGATATGTTATAGGTCTATCAGTGTAACTGCTGCATTTGACATACGACGGAAAGAGATGTTTTTTCTCTTGTGAATTACTTTTTAGGGGACCAAGGCTTTTTTTTTGGTACTTGGGTACATTTTGAAAACATTATGCTAAGTTATTGAGATTAGCAGAAGTACAAAAAAGTTGTAGCATTGATTATGACATGATACAGCTCTTTGGGACGTCCTCCTGACATGAAAGGCGCTATACAAATGTAATTTGTTGTTGTTGTGTTTCATCCATTAGTTATACATTTCTGTTTGAAACTCCACCAACATTAAATCTCAATGAAGTATTGTGTAAATGCATGTGATAAATTCCCTCAATCCCGTCGCCTTGCCCCTTTTCTCCCCTCTTTCAAGTCCAGCCTGAAAACTTTTCTCTTCGACATGCTTTCTGCCACCTCCCCCCTCCCCCTCAGAGTCCGGCTCCGCCACTGTTAGCGCTCTGAGACGCTACCCTGCGTGGAGGGCGCTATATAAGTGCAAGTTGTTGTTGAATCAGATGGTAAAACTAATCTGTAAAATTAAATCTGAACTCACACGACATGTGGAGAATAATTGAGCCTTTTATTGGTTGATACGATATTCCCATACGATATTAACTTGTCACGAGAGATGTGAACGAAGATGACCATTTGGCTCACTGAGCTCATCCATAATACCAACCATAATGTTTTCCCACGAGAGCATCAAGCTGTTTCTTAAATTAGGCCAATAACTTTGGCTTCAGTCATCCTTCCGATGACCCATTCCATCTGTTGATTAGATATCTGGGCTGACCAGTTAAGTGCTGCATTGTTGGACGTGCTATCCTTTAGACAAGATGTTAAACTTAGGTTCTGTCAGCTTTTTCAGGTGTCCTTTGAGACTATTCAAATAGTGAAGGGAGATTCTCCCAGTGTCCTGACCAATAATTCTCCAGATGTATTTGTTATTCATCTTCATTCCTCATGGCTGTTTTCAATGAATTGTTTACACTATTGTCCTACCACAATAGTGTAAACAAATGATTGAATTTTCCCTAAAATATGCTTCATAAATAATAACTGAATAAGTGCTTGCTTGTCCTGCTACTTTTACGTATCTGAAATGGTGTTCATCATTTAGCCCCTCTACCCTATTAAGTACTTGTCCATCCTTATAAAATCCCTTCTGAGATGTCCCTTTTTGAGGCTGAAGAAATCTTCATATATCTCATCCCTATAACACTATATCATCATTGCTGTAGACCAGGGCAACCCCCTTAAGTTGCAAAGATGCAATTTGCCACGTGAGCCTGACCGGAAGTGCTTCATTATGACTTTTGGAGATTTCATAAGATTACCGGATTGGTTCAGATGGAAAAGGCTGTCTGATCTCATCTCTCCAGAATATCCACCCACTGTCCTCACATCACAGCATTGAGCTGGTTTTAAATGAGGCCAGAGTCCTGGCAAAAAACCCTCAATGAATTTAACTATGTAGTTAAGTATCATCCTGTTTGCCTTGGGTAATGTTGCCTCAAGCATACAGAATGAGGGAAGAATCAACAGACTCTCTATAAGTCTCTTTCAACATATTATAAATATGTCAATGTATTCTACTTTTACTTCTCATTTGTAGTATCTATTGTTTATTCATACTATAACTTAATTTGCCAGTGACCACCCATCATTGCATGAACAAGGTAATGATGGTCATCCTCAACTTCTGATAAATTTTAAGACTGTAAGAACCATGCAAATATGTTCTGATTGTCTTACTAATGTGGCAATATAAACTAGCATTGTAAATCCTGTCCCATGAAAATGATTTGGCAAAGTAAATGGTGCAGTTGAATTAACTGTCAAAAGATGTTTTTAGCACATTCTTTCGAACACCTTGAGTTGGATGCTTAAATAACCCCTTATACTTCTGTTTTAGTGCTCAGTTTATTAGGCCACAATGTGTAGCTATTGCACGTAGTAATGGAGAGTGCAATTATGAAATGGTGCAAATAAATACATTGTTACCTTTTCTGGCTCACACACCTGCCCCATAAATTCCTTTCTTCAATGTTCTTTCTCTGTGTTTCTGTCTATTTTTACCTAGATTTAATACCTCGCAATTGTAGAATTGTTTGAAAATAAATAATTTGGCCACATTTGGTTTCTATTTTAGTTGAGGTGGCATAGTTGGTAACTTAGTGCTGAGAATATACGGCACCCCTTTAGATTTTGGGTGATATTTAAACTAACACTTTTTCATTAGTTTTCTCTATCTCTATATCATCTGCAAACAGAAGCACCGCAGTGTTGTCAGAACTATCTGGAACAGGTGCACCAGATCTGTCCCCCTTGATGGCTCCAATACGCTTTTGATGAATATATCGAATAAGGTTGGATGGAATACCGAGCTTCCACCTGCACAATGACGAGATTCCTTTCAATGTTTGATCTCGGTGTTCATTTCAAACAGAGGGTTTTGATTTGGAATCCTTCTGTATTTTGTTCATGAAGCTATCTATGAACCTTTTCTAGCAGTGATAGAGTGTGCTTTGAGATTAAAATAAAGTCAATTGATGCCAAATATTGGCATTTTCTATGGGAAGTTAAGTAATACTTGACATCTCGGTAACAGTGTCATTTATCTTACAGCTAGCTGACATCAACGTTGGCTTCATAGTTTGTATGTTGGGAGCAGTAACAAGAAAGAAAGCCACAATCAGTATGTGATGTTAGCACGACTGCGGTCCATCTTTCTCATCATCCCAAGAGATACCAACCACAACCTACTTGTGTTTTACTTTAAGGAAAATAATTGATTTCATTGCTCAATGTCTCCTTGTTTTAGTAACACAAATATGCGAATTTTCTTATCCGAAACTTGAGATGCTCAGGGTTCACAAGCTCGCTTAAATAAATGCTGCACTGCAATTTAGGAATGTCATTGGTGGTATTGATTTAGTTGACATTCACGTCTCACAAGTGCTTGTCCTTTTTTTAAAAAAAAAGAATTCTTGAATCTGTTTTGATAGTGGTTCAATTCAATGACAAAACAGATGGTGGACATTCACATTCTGTCCACTGCTAAAACTGATTGTTGTTTGAACAAAATGTCATTTTCTCCTACTGCTACTGATAAGCCTATAAACCTAGCCTTTTACTATAAATCACGTATTATCCCATTTTAGCATGTGTATAAATATATGAACATTTTCTGGTCAAGTCAATTATTTAAATTTTAATCGTGCACAATTTATTTATCCGAGATTTTAGTACAGATAGATCATAGAAATAGAATGTTCAGTATGGAAAGACAGTCATTTGGTCCAGTGAGTCTTCGTGCTGCTCACTGTTCAATAAAACAATCCACTTTACCTGAGCATCTGATACTGCTCTGGCTCCTGCAGCAGAGGTTACAGAGGTTTCTCAGCTCGTGATGGAACTTGAGCTCCTACTCCAGGTTGTCCCACAGTAGGGGGTACTGTCCTTCAAACAAGCCCCTAAAGTCCTGTTCACCTGTTCTGGTAGAAGTTAAAGGTCCCATGACTCTATTTGGGGAAAAAAAAGGATTTTTTCTCAGTTTATTGGGCCAAGAATCCTCCAGAAATATTTGTGCAACCTTGCTTTGTGTAAACTGGCTGCCACTTTTCGCCCACAAATTACACAGTCGATCAACATTACAGTATATGCTGTGAATAGCTTTGAGACATCTCAACGAGGTGATAAGGTGCTATATCAAATGCAAAGATTATTATTAATATGATTACAAATACAGACACACACATAATTACCTGTGAAGCTCTTTGACAGATTTCAACATTGTTGGTACTATATTCCGTTGTTAATTTATTATTTTTACCATCTCTTATTTTTAAAGTGTGCATCTAATTCTCCTATAAATGTAATTTGTCTTACCTGGCAACTCTTGGGAATGTGCTCCACATTCTAATGCAAAATTATTTGTCTAAATCTGAGGCCAAGTAGTTCATACCAGTTTTACACTTGGTCCAACAATCCAAGCTAAAACCTCCACGTGAACCAATGTTGACAGGAAGAGATCAATAGCAGAGCCTATAGTTCATGTAAGAATGTTTTAAGAGGAGCAGCCTGCCCAAAGAATAAATAGAATACCTAACCAGGGATGGTGCTTTGTGGGCTACCTTGGGAAAAATACCATCACTCACGTTGACTTGCTAAGTTATTCATTCCTTGCCATAAAAGTACAGTAGCACTCCCCAACTCCCCAACTCTGATAAGAATTAATATTTACAGCACAGTTAGAATGTGTGAGCGACAGTATTGAACCACAGACAGTATGCAATGTTAATTAAAGCAAAATAATACATATTTGAGAGGAATTCTAAGACACCAATCGAATCAGTGGGTTCAGTTCAAATTGGAAACCATCAGAGCAGTGTTTCATTGGTGTATAACCAGCATCCGAATGCAATCACTCACTGTCTTGGTAACTCTTATTTATAACATGCACTATTTAGAGTTTGTGTGGGTTTTGCATTCGAGTTTGGTCAGCTTTTTATGCTGGCAATGAATGTACAAGTGTGCTAGATGGGTCATATCATTCACATAAAGGGATTAAACATTCTGACAATGCTGCTGCAGGTTAATTGCAAACAGTCTAATGCAGATTACCAAGAAATGCTATGTTCAGCATTCATTCATGATCAATAAATTCTGTAATGATTGTTATTTAGCATTTTATTTCAAGTTGTTAGTCAAATGTAAAAGAGCAACAACCAGAGAGGTTCATTCAGAGGTGGTGAGAACATTTCTATGCGAATGTTTGCTATGGAACGCCAAGTGATAGTCAAAGCCAACTTGTGGTTCTAACCGAATAAAATTAAAATCAGTAAACATGAATGGTTACATATTTGTAATACTAATTTATTTTCCTTAATCTAATGCACAGTTTAAGTAGCTGGCTTAAGAAAGCATTATGAATGGTCCAAATACAAATTATCGTTCAGTTTCTGAACACTCTGAAGCATTGATTGTCCATCCATTGGGTCATCCTCCCGATGTGAAAGGCGCAATACAAATGTAATTTTGTTGTTGTTGATGCATTGGAGCAAAAACTGCAGATAAAACTTGTTGAAGGCTGCTGATCTGAGTTAGGGCAAAATGTCATTTTATTCCCTGCATGGGACGTCGGGGGAAGGAAAGGGTGTGTGTATAATGCTGATAATTGGCTATAATTTGTGATATTCACAATCTGGATATTGTTTGCTGACCCTGCCTGGAATCTTACCAGTTTGGGATTCATAATTGTTTTTGAACTGGAATGCTGTACGCCATTAGTTGTAATTAATGCTACAAAGCTAATTTCTGAATATTACTAATTAGACTCCATGGTCCCACAGGCATACAACTAAAAATCTTCACCGCTAAGAATTATTTAATGTGCTTTTATGAGGTTATTTTAAACATCCTGTTAACTATTCAAATCTGGCAACAACATAGGGAGAGACCTCCTTGTGTGCCTGTACTGTTATTTTATTCAGAACAACTGCATAATAAATATTTTAAAATGCAGTTTTTACTTTTTAAAAAAAATGATGTGGAAATTGATAGAAGCTCAGGGAACAGTTTATAGTTAGATTTTTCTAGATGGAAGATGAGGTCTTTATAAGAACATAGGAATGGAGAAATGAAAACAGTGCCTGGATTTGCTTCATTCTTCAAGTCCTGTCCCAAACCCATACTTGTGTATTCCTGCTGAAGGTTATATTGATCCAGTTCTCTTTTAAATGCTTCAACTCATCCAGTTGCACTTGACTGCAGTCTATTCCAATGCCCAGTTTCCCTCTGTCACCCTTAACTTAGCAACAGGCCTATTATTTCATCTTCTTAGCAGATGTCAGGACCTCAGTTAATCCTGCAGCTATTTTCCAAAAAAATTGTGATTAAGGTTGAAACTGACATCTAGCTAACTATGCAAAGATAAAAGATAGTCAGTTGATCACGATCACCTTCAGGATTTGACAGACTAGTTCATGTAGCTCCAAAGTGCTCCTCTTCTATTGTGTAATTGCATTCATATTAAAACAATTTACCCTACTGTCTGAAATGTTCTATATGTAAAAATGTGAAGCACTTTAAACAGAAAGATGGGTGATGTAGAAATGCCCATTTAAGCTTTTTTTATATCATTTAAGGATTTGGGGCTTGGAGTTCTCACTAATTCTCTGTGTTGATATTGTTTCAGGTCCAAACTGTTTTGCAGGTTCCACAATCATTCCAGCAGGGAAGGAAGTAAAGGTGGACGAGTGCACTATATGTCACTGCTCACAGAATGGAGACTGGTGGAAGACTGAAAGACAAGCCACTTGTGTGAAACGTGAATGTGATCGCCTCTGAACTGGACCAGCCCAGCTGTTGTACTTACCATAACTGCCAGCAAAGCAGCAGCATAGAATGCTGTAAAGCCAAAAATATTGCCTAGCTCTACATATTGCAACAGCCAAAGGAAGATCTAGATTTCTAAGGCAAGCACTGTTTCATGAACCAATATTTTTTTAGATTGTTGATTAATTATTCTATCCGTGGGTGCATTTTGGTTGAAAGTTAAACAAGGTTTTTGACTGCCAATTACCGATATTTTTGGTTTTACAGTTTCTAAATTAGTTGAACCTGCTTCTTGTGTCATCTGAAGGGATTTCCTGGTCCTTTATTACACTGCCTGTTTCCACTTAACATTAGAAGCTGTTTGCAGGCAAACATTGTACTTTTAGAATATCTGAATTTAGTTCACCTGTGGTCTTCTGCACTTTGCTCTGTGCTTTATATACATTCAATTTGATCAACTGGACGGAGGGAAGCTGTCATATTCCAAGACTGTTCAATTTTTAGTCTGATACACTATTTGTGTGCCTGAAACTAAATGACAATATTATAATGTAAAAAAATGACTATGTGGAATTACAACTGAACTGTATTTAGTGTGGCAAATAAGCATATATTCTAAAATATATTATTTTGTTAAATATAAATTGTGAAATTCTGCATAATATGTTGCAATTGTCTTTCTTTCAAACAGGTTTGAAGTAACACCTTCATTGTACACTTAAAACTGCATTCAATTCAGGAGGTGAAGGATAATCTGTTTAAAAACAAACCTGACTACTCATACAACATTCATCAGCTGACATACATAATGATAAATATATTTTATTAATTACAATCTATTTAGTTTAGTTGTGTGAAATGCTAAATATTGCTTTGTGTTACAATGTCTTGCTACGCTGCTTGTCCAATTAGGGCCATCCTACCATTAGGGTTTTGGTTTGCAGGGTTAAACAGGAGCTGAGTGGGGAAGAAAACCCTGCCTCCAGTGTCCTGTCTGCTCCCCTTAGTCATGCTGAAGATCAAGGCAGGCTGGTGTGTCATCAACACTGCCTTGGAGTTCTGTGACCCACTTGACTCAGGAACCAAACTATCAAGACCGTCAAAGAGGATCGACTGAATTAAGATTACCAGGTATGTCACCTTGGAGCCAGTTCAGCCCTGAGGAGACCCACCTACCTCCAACCAAGGAAGATGGACAATAGTTGGTTGTTAGTCATCCAACGAGTGTAGGTTTGTTTGAGTGAGATGTCTAGGGTTGAATGTTTAGGGGGAGTTGTAAATCCATGTCTCATTTTAATTGTTCTCTGTTTGGGTACCTCTGAATCACTCATCCTTCTTCAGCTAAAAAGATGGATTTGACATGACCTGGTCCTAGGCTTTTGGTTATATCACTTCAATCTTCCTTCCTAGTCTCCTTGACACCAGCCTGTGGTCTGACATAACTCGAAACCACATACCTCTCAGTTTGTATTCACCAGATGTAGAACAATGGATCTTCTTGTGGATTTCTGAAGTCAGTCACACATATGTCATGACGTATTCACCACTGTTTATTTTCGTTATTAAACATCAACATATTGTTGTAGAGAGGATCAAGTTAAACCTATAAAAGGTTCCACCCTGATTATTGGCTGCAGACTTTTTAGATAAGCACAACATCGCCCTACACTTTTCGTCAACTCGATGGTAATTTCTCATGTTCAGCAGCTCTCTGACTGAATTGGTCTATTAAGTTTACCCAGATAAAACATTTCGTAGAATCATAGAATTGTACAGCACAAAAAGAGGCCATTCGGCCCATCGAGTTTGTGCCGGCTCTTTGAATAGAGCAATTAATGTCAATCCCACTCCCCAGCCCTTTCCCCATAACCCTGCAAACCCTCAAATACCCGTCCAGCGCGTTTTTAAAAGTAGTTATCGAATCGGCCTCCACCACCCTTTCAGGCAATACGTTCCAGATTCGAACAACTCGCTGCGTGAAAACATTTCTTCTCACCTCCCCTCTGCTTCTTTTAGAGACTAGATTGCTTATTTATCAGGAGTTCAACACTGGTGTATTACATTTCTTTGTGTTCATCTGCTTTGTTGCCAACTTGTTGGGAGATTGACCATTGTGTATCGTGTTTTACAGTGTTTAGCAGCTTGTCTGATTATTTATTGAATGATGCGCACCAGTATAACCACAAATAACTTTTAGATTCACAACCTTGCTTTCAAGCCTAAAACAGGAGACCTATTCTTTTGTGGGCAACAGAAACAAAGTGTGAGGCATTCTGCAATACAGAAGATCCATTTTGAACAGAATATTATGCAGTCTCTATTCCTGTACTTTTTTAACACCAATATTTTCTTTTCAATTGTTTATATTTCAAAAAATACACGACGGCATTACATTTACTGTGTGCTAAAATATAAGCTGTGGCATTTCTAGACAGTTGTTTCAAAAAGAATAATTATTTATGGGTGGATTAGCATTCAGGTATGTTATTTATTTGTAGGACTTTCTCTCTACAGAACAATGTATCAGCCTGCCTCAATTGATGGCACTCTCACTTCTGATTCAGAAGGTTGTGAGTTCAAGCACCATGTCTTAGCCTAGTTACAGTCAGTCTAGCCTAACTCTTCAATACAGTTCTGGGGCGACTAAAGTTGGAGGTGCCTTCATTCGGATGAGACATTAAACCAAGGTCCCATCTGCCTGTTCAGTGGACATTAAAGATCCCACGACACCATTCAAACAAAGGAGTATGTCCTGCGTCCTGGTCAACATCTTCCCAGATAAAATTGGTCATTCACTTCAAGGCTATTTATGGACAATGTTGTATGCAAATTGGCTAATGTGTTTGCCTACAAAATAGTCACTTGTGAAGAGTTTTGAGATGTCCTTTCAACATGCAAAGTCCCAAATTCAAATATAAGGATTATTATTATTATAACAAAGCTGCATTTATACTGCACGTTTGCAATGCTTTTGACAGCAACTCACCATCAAATATGTAGTATAAATAGTCTTAGATAATTTGAATGTTGCTGGAGCCTTAGTCCTGTAAACTGCAGGATATGTTGCCCACATATATTAAAAACTGGTTGTAAAGGCAAGCAACCAGAACAACTCTTGCTATAGCTCCTGATGTTCCATATGTCCTATTAGGCTGCATGTAGATATTAATTGGTACTTTCTCTAAATGGGAGATATTGTGCACTTAAATATTGTGTGATTAACAAGTGAATGTAATGTAACTTAGTCATTTTACAATAGATGTTTAAATTACCATCTTATCACTTTAGAGCTTTCCAGCAGTTTGCTACCCTCAATTGAAATGACTCCAAATGATGTGTACTTTAAAAAAATCTATATAATAATTTGAAAGATACCTCTACCATCATGACAATTCTTTCCTTGCTTTAACTCTGTGCACTCCGGGTGCCCGTATGTGTAGTGCATTTGGAGCTTGTGCTTGGGTAAAGCCATTTCCTATCGTAATTACACAATGTAGTCATTGGAGGTGCATTTGATATTTATCACAATATGGCAGGAAGTAAATCCTCCCCCCACGCCATTCTTGACTGCCACATTCAGTGAAGCCTGGCCCGGGTATTGAACTTGTGAATTGTGGCCATCAACTTCTAGCTAGTGGGATATTGACTACTCTTGACATTTTTGTTCAGTTAAAAGGTTGGAGCTGAAGGTGGCAATCCACGAGCTGGGAATCCGGTGTCTCGCCTCACAGACCTTGCCATTGAGAATGGCATTGCTTGGCAAGTGCCTGCAGTGCATTCAATGTGATAAATATAGAATGTGCAGCTAAATTGAGCTCATTATTATCAAACTGCACTGTACACATGAAGCATCAGTCCTCAAGACTGTCACTTTCTTGGAGGATTAATTGGAAGCTGGAGGGAAGAATAAATAATAATCCTTACATTTGATATAGTGCTTTTCACGTCTTCTAGATGTCTCTCAAAGCACTTCACAGAATATACTGTAAAGTGAATTGACTGCATATTTTGTGTGCGAAATGTGGCAGCCAAATGCGCACAGCAGTTTCCCACAAACAGTCGTGGATTGAAATGACCAATTTTTTTTTTTTTTGAGTGATTATTATCAGACGTGTGGAGTAAGGAAACTTACCCAAGGTTTCACCCTGCCAGGAATTGAACCCAAGTCTCTCGCTTTGCACAGATGACTCGCAGACTCAAGAGAAAGGTATTCAACAAGCTATTCGGGATCTCAATGAAGCTGTGCAGTCTATCGCTTGGATGCACAATGACATGACAGTATTACATGACATTATACATTTCAGCTGGGCAAGGTTGGTGGATCACATCTGCTTACTACACTGTTCAGAAATCGTTCTCTTGCATCTCCAGGATTCACTCATGCCTGTGAAAGTCAGTCTACAGAGGTTGTGGGCACAGGATATCAAGGGCCTTGTAAGTAATCGATCCTACCAAACCTCAGCAGCGAATGCAAGGTACATTATCTGAATTAAAAAAATTGTTTTTACATGTGTTAAACTGTTTAAAGAAAAACTTCAGCATTTTACATAAGTTTTGTATTGATATAAATGCACATAACTTGTAAATTCACATCCTAATATTTTTATATTCTACTGAATGTAGTTAAATGCTTAATATATTTTGAAATCCAAGAATTATTTCTTGTTATTTAACATGGTTACTTGACTAAATGGTAACCCTGACTCCTGCAGTCCAGTTGTGTTACTTTTTCATGTTCATAAAAGAAACCACATAGCATATTGTCTATTAAGCCTCCTAACCCACATCTTACCGACATTCCTTATTTGTTGCTCCTTTCATTAATATGTTAATATAGTCATCTGGAAGAATGACATGGCTCAGGCTAAATTTATAAATAGTTTCCTCCATGAAAAGGTTGCTAATGGGAGCTTTTCTCAACTGTCCATTCAGAACAGAGTAATACAAAATAACACAAATAGATTTGTGCATAATTAGATTAAGCCTTCAAGGAGCGTGGAACAGATTAGTTATCTGGGTGTTGTTGAGTGAAGAGAGAGGTTTATAATAAATGTAATCAGCAGAAAGAAACAAGAGTAAAAATGAGAATGTAGGAAAAATATTAAAAGAACAAGCACAGAAGGAAAATTAGAAGGAATAAAATTGACAGACTAATGAAAATGCTTCTAATGTGTTAATAATTGAGTCAACATTACTGTAAGCTATTCTGATAGTTGAATAGCTTTGCTACTACAGTATATATTTTTTCAATGCCAGTGTTTGAGCTGAAATGTACAGAACATGAAGGTCATGGAAACCATTTCCATAGGTTAACGGGCAATGTCAGAAAAAATAATTTGTATTGCTTCATGATGCAAAAGGTGTTTTATTATAATTTAATTATGATGGATCAGTAAAGCTTAACCACTTGTGTTATATTGCAAATTCTGTCATGTATAAAAAAGATTAAATGTGTTGACTTAAGGTTGTCAGTGGTAATAAAAGCTTGACTCAAGGGTCCTTTGATGGCCAAGTGGATGAAGTCACCAGCCCATGTAGTACTAAGCCATTGGACCAAAAAGGTTGCAGGTTTGATTCCCTGTCTCTGCTGAGTTA